TAGAAAGTGAGAGGGAACAGAGTGAATCGAGAAATCAGAAAGGAAGATAGAAATAAAGAAGTTAAAAAGTAGAAAAGTAAGGAACAGAGTTATAAAAGTAGAGAAGAAATGAGGAAAGAGATAAATAAGAAAGTAAAGAATGAAAGATAAAGAAATAAGGAAGTAAGGAAGAAATAAATGTAGAAAAATAATAACGTTGGGAAAGAATAAGAGAGGTATTTCCAAGAGACCAGTATAGGAGACCGGCTCGAGGAAGAATGAGCGCTCCGACTCCGGGCACTGCCTCGAGCGCTCCCCACTGCCCGGCTTCTCCCACTCCCAGAGTTCTTCGAGGTGAATATGCGGGCACACCATTTTCAGCAACTTACAGTATTTCTGAATATCCTGGACAGGATTTCTGATTTCTGAGTGATATTATCTAATTTTATTGATTTGATTAATTATTTTAATATTTCAAACACATCATTTATTAATATTTCAATTTGAGCGTAATTTATTTTCGACATTTTACAATTTCAATTCAATTCATATAAAAAATATATGAAAGAAAGAAAAACGGAGAAATTCATAAAGTAGGAAAATACAACAGTGCAGGAATAAGGAACTAGACGAGGAAACAAATAGAAAATCTTCATTCGAATTATTATATATATTTAGGATAACTGAAGATCAAGAATATAAAATAAAAAACAATTTATTAACGACATAATTACAATAGTATATTCTGCACGTGGAAAGCAATAGTTCTCTTTATACATCGTTTTCTTGGATCGTTCGATAATAATAATAATAATAATAATAATCCTTCAAATTAATTCAATCACAAGCCTACGATAAAATATGTCCATTCACTTATCACTTTGCCTGTTTATTATTCCATCGTATCATTGATTTTCGCTTAAACCTCTACGCCTTTCGTTAATACTTACTCACATAATTTGCGAGTAAACAATTTAAATAATCATTCGTATCACGGATCATACGTGCATATCAACCATATCATTGGACCTCGTAATCATGCACTGATTCTCATGGAATATTTTTCACAATGTTAATTGGAAATAATTAACGGCAATAATAATGGTCGATGAGCTCGCGTGTCCTTGTGACAATCATTGCTACAGCTGTTAACACATTTTTGAACGTTGACAATCGTAAAGGACGTCTACTTAAAGCTACGTTAAATCCAGCTAAATAATTCAATTCATCTAAATTTCTGTACAAAAGAGATTTGGGGCGGTTGGAAAAGGAGCGGTGAAAGAAGGCGAGTGGTTAGATACGAAACTAAAGAAAAGTCAAAAATGAAAAATTTTCGTGGAAGCGATAGAGCGGAAAAACGGGGTAATTAAAAAAATTATATTCAAGTCGTGCTTACTGGCTCGTTAATGATTTCACTTTCCGCACTTCTTAAGGCGAACATTCATCCGACAGTCGCGACTTCAGGATAAACAGACAGAGAAAAAAAAGTTACAATAAAAAGTACTATGTATAAAGAAATAATGGACGCTAGAAAAGGGCGTAAAATATAAAAATAGGATTGACACCAAAAATTGATATAAAGTTGACAGCATTTTTCAATGTACATAAATATATGTAATAATTAACGATCGGATAGATTTCTCGAATGTCTTCGAAGCGGAAGGGAGCAGACAGTGGATGGTGGAGGAAAAGAAAAAAAAAAAAGTTGAATCTCCTAATCCGAGATAAGGGCCTTAGGTTGCTAACTAAATTAATAATTACGCAGAATTAGCTAAGAGAGATCTATCATGGTTTTTCCATTAATCCTGGGTAAAAACGGAAAGTTATAAACTAACTGTTATTGGTGCTACAGTAAAATTAATAGTGGACAAGTAGAGTAGCGATGGTCGATGATAAACAAATGACAGTGGTTGACAGTAACGATAAAATAGTGACAGTTGGTAGGCGAGGAGGACAGCGCATGCGCAAAGAACGCTTTTTCCTTTCTATAACCTCATGCACACAGGACTAATACGAATATGGAGGCGCAAAAAAAATTCACACGCTCAGAATACACACCCTACATAGAGATCCTTAATCATTTGTCTTATCCTTCTTCTCCTCTCTCACTAATTCCTCCTTGTAACGAACGCAAGAGAAACGTACTTAATAATATCAACTAACAGAATTGAACGACCTAATAAAACCGCTTGCCGTTAATAACACTTAGCCATTTTTTTGTTATTAAATATTTACAGTGTACACCAGCGTAATGCTATAATTTTATACCGTAATTTATGTGATCTGCCGTTAAATTATTTTCATCTTTCTTTCTTGTACGACGACATCCATTTCTTCATCTTTCTCTTTTAATCATCAACTATCTCCTCGTCTCGCTTTGCAAAACGATTATGTTTTTATAAATTTATAATAGCACGCTCGATCTGCTCCATGCATTGGTATTGTTTATAGTTTTTGTTTAAAACATCTCATTAATCAAGCGTTAAGATTTTTCTATTCGACTCGCCTGTTGTTCCACGCATCTTGGATTTCAGTATGTCTTATGTATTAACACGTAAGTCTTCAAAGCGCGCAAAAAGTCATCACGGTTCTTTTTTTTTTCAGTTTCATTCGGCTCTTGAGATAAAAGTAATGTTCGATTTTCTCATTTCGATGATGATAAATAATTAAGAACGCGTCAGACCAGGGCACCTGAAAAATATGCTGCGTCGAAGGCATCTCGTGGCTATTGTTGTATCTCATTTAATTATTCTCTCTCTTTTTTCTAAATAAATAAATTGCAATCACCATCTCGTTACAATAGTAGTATTGGACGTCAAAGAGTGTCTGTATTACTCGACAGCGAGAAGAGATTAAATTTTATTTTTCTTTTAAACACTATAGTTTCCATCCACTCTTAATATGCATAATCTTTGTTGTCGTGTGGTTGTCGGTTCTGGCTTTTGCTGTTATCTATGGTACCTGCTAGTTGTGGGTACAACCTCGAAATATTTATCACCTAACAATTCTAATTGCTGAAAATAGTTTCTTCTTTTTTGCCTCTCGCAATTATACTCGCGATACTTTTACGTATTTATTCTTCTTTATCTTAAAGGATGGCTCTTAATTTTATTAACAATCTGTAAATCTAACTGGGCACCACAGCGCCTCTAGCGGACTGCGCGCCAAACGTCATTATTTATAAAGATACTGAACGCTCTGTGAAAATATAACGCAAACACAATGAACTAAGCTTTAGTCGAATGTACAATTAACTTTGTTTCCACGTAACGTTTTCTTTTTTAAACTTCACTATATATGCTGGATCCCTCACAGTCGTATTATTTTATTGCAATAGGGTTTTCGCGGCTTTAACGATTCCCAAAGAAAATACATTCGAGACGCGGAATTTTACGGCCATTAAAATTGTTTTAAAATTATAACTGTTTTTCTTTTTCATCTTGCTACAAGTAAAATTTTACGAATATATTCGCTTTTTTTTTCTAACTGTGTACGTGGAGTCGTTTTGTGGCTCTCCTTAATTTTTTTTGTGTAGGTACGTGTGTATGTTCTCTGTGTTTTTTTTTTGTATATTCGCCTTGTACTTTATCTATATCAATATTATCACTACCTATTACGAATGGTGCCCTGGTTGATTGGCATCGGCGTCGAACGCGAATGACGGTTTTTCTTTTTTTCTTTTTTTTTTTTTTTTTTTTTT